CCCCAAAACCCCAAAACCCCAAAACCCCAAAACCCCAAAACCCCAAAACCCCATGTGAAAGAGAAGAGATTGGCTCTTCGATAAATATAAGAAATATTATTCAAATTTAAACTGCCGATATTTAAAACAATATGAGGAAGAAAATTTTGCCACAAGCAGGGTTCAACGTTGAGAAGTTTGCACGCAAGAACATGAACACCTTGGATAATGATAATTCTGCCCACCTGGTAAATCAGAAAGCAAGGATCCGTAATTGGAAGCACGGTACAACTAAAACTTCGCCAATGCGGTTAAAAATTATCCGCTCAAGGGAGACTTCTCCCGTAATTCAAAATAGTGTTTCCCAGACCAAAATTATGGGAAATGTTAGTATTAAGAAGATTACACTTGTGAAGGATAATAAGAGGAGAATTGGTGGAGCCCCAAAACCAATCACCACACAGATCTCTTTATGTGATAATAATCCCGGCAGAAGAGCCAAACACCAATGTAAGAAAACTAGTAAAATCAACCCTAAGCCTAGTAATAATGACTACGTTCCTGAGGTCTCACCTGTTGAGCTTAGTTTTGAGGAGGAACTAGATGTCGAAAATATTTATAAGGAGAATTCCTTCATCAATCAGCAAATATTCCAACAGTCCAAACGGCCAAAAGGGCATCGCAGAAAAGTTGAGCCTAAACTAGAATCGATGAAGGGAGCCTGCAGCCTAAATTTAGATGACTGAATCCAGAAATAAGCAATATACTGACCACTCACAAGCTCCTGAATTTGAAGAGGAGGGAAAGGAAAACCTCTCTTCTGAAGGAGATGAGACAGATGTTAAGGAACGGTCATACCTGGCAAAGCCACCCAAGATTCAACAGGAGAAGTTTAACGATCTTAGTAGGAAGTTTTCTCGAAATCCAGGATTTTCCCAAGTTGGGAATTTCAAGACGGATGTTCCGACAGAGGACACTACTAAATTACATTCAGCCAAATTCCTGTCCCAGAAATCAGTTGCTAGCAAAGAAGCTGAGGAAGTGAGCAGTTGTGGAGGGAATGTAATCCCTACTGGGATTATTTCAAGAGCGAGGCGGTCAGCCCAGAAAACTTCGAAAATACCTCACAACCTAAACAGGAGTAGGAACGCAGGCCGGAACAACCACAGTCGTAACAGTTCGAACCTTGAACGGGTCACTTCAAATATTCTCACTGATAAATTAAGGGACACTCTGGAAAACTCTAAGAAGAAGGGATCTAGGTATTCAATGGCTTCAAATCACCCTAAAAATGGCGAAAAGTCAAATATCCTCAAGGAAGATGGCAAATTGAAAGAGTCAGATTCTGGCAACACCAGATTGAAGAAAGTGTATCAGAAAGCATATTATAAGAACAAGGTTAACAACCAAGTCCTTGGGGATATCATTAAAAACAATAATGGGACTAATTTTGGGTCAAAGAGACATCTCCAGACTGAGAAGCCTCATAGTAAGGATAAATATAAGAGGATTCATTCTAAGAATACCAAGAACCACTCTTTGAATAATAAAGAGAATCATGCTAAAAACCAGCATGACAGTTTTGATGAATTTAGAGACAAAAATAGCTCGACTGAGGTGTATAACCTCAATCAGTATTGCAGTGCAGCTAATCTAAATGCCTTCGGGTCCAAAAATTTTAGCCTACCAAAGAATATGATACTCAGCAAAAACAGAAGCAGGGATAACACAGGTTTTGGTTCACCAACTATGAGAAGAGTTGAAGGTGAAAAAGAGGAAAATAAAGGTGCTTTCGATAGCATCATGGCGAAACATGGGCTCCTAAAAGACCTGAATAACTTGAATTGATTCAATGCCTTTTGCAAGCAATCCCCTTTGAGACATCAAAGATCATTAGATTATTGCTACCAAAGCACGAATTCTTCTCTATATCCTAATACGAATCAGGGTCCAACACATATGAAGACTTGAACTCAGCAGAATTTGAATTTGTATAACAGGAAACAGAACTGTATCTCTCCAGAATCAGTTACAAGCCAATTCTCGCCTACAGAGACGATGCAGAATCCTCATGATATCGCAGGGAGGACAATGGATAGTAATGGATATTCATTTCCGTTCCAAAGGAGAGCTCGGTCAGCTTCCCCTCCAAAGGACCCGGAAATTGCCCAGAAAATCGCTGAAACTCTTTCTCCAAGACACAACAATGAGAAGAAAACAAGTGCAGTAGATGAGTTATTAGAGGACCAAGTTATGTTTCTCCAAGATCCCCTAAAGAGCCAGAATTCGATCCATTCTAGGATTGGAAGCGGTAGTTTCAAGTCTCGTAAGCCAATTGTGGCTAATCCAAAGCTGTTCTTCATCGGTGGTCCTGGAAATATGACGCATAAGGGTTCTGACGAGCCCATCTGTATCCCTTCTGACAAAATGAAGGTACTCAGCAAGGCAATCAATCACTATTTGAATGGAGAATACGACAAAATACCGGATAATTCTCGTGAGAATAAGCTAATCGAGAATGATCTATGTACCCATGATCTCAAAGGTCACGATATCTCAGATGGAAATGAACACGATCTCACAGACGAAGCTGCTGCTAAGAAATGAGAGGTCGATGACTGGCTCCAGGATAACTCAGGACCAACTGAGAACTCTCTTGAGGGCAAGCATCAGGATGGCTTCGATCCCTTCGCTCAAGTGAAAGAGGAGTCCTATCAACCTCAGTCTAGTCTGTACAAGAAGCAGCCAGCAGCTGGGGATGGGATGACCCCTGCTAATATCATGGAGATTATTCAGAACTCTCAGAAGGTGCAGGAGAACCCTGTTGTCAAAAATACCTCGAAGTACGTCTCTTTGACTACCAATGAAGAGGAGGTGGTTGAAAAGAACATCATTGTTGATGATGCTGATTTTGAGCTAGAAAATTGCCTCGAAGAAGATGAAGAATGGATCTTACAAAGCTTTAATGCCAAGAAAAGACTTGAAGAACAACAAAGACAGAGAGAAATTGAAGAGAAGCAGAAGGAAGAACTTCAAATAAAAATTATGTCAAAACCTCCTCAACCTACTCCTTCTACTAACGAAAGGCTCTGATCTTTAAAGGAAACGGTAAAGATTGAGGAGCCTGATTTGAGTTCAGAGGCTGTCAAGCCTAGGAGAAGGAGAAAGAACAGTAAACATCGTAGGACTGAGTCCAAGACGTTCAATAAGGATTTCTTAGAGTCTTTGGCTCAACAATGTCCTAGCTAATCCTAACACATAACACTAAAAATCTTTTGAAATTTAGACTTCAATAAATTATCTCTAATAGGGGTTTTGGGGTTTTGGGGTTTTGGGGTTTTGGGG